TAACGCCGGAAGAAGGATTTGTATGGAAAATAGTACAAAAAACGTAAGTTACAGCTAAATTTTACTATATTATTATTATTATTATTTTTAAGTTCTTTATTAAGGAGATTTTTAGCCTATGGCTAGTTCATCTCCGGATCATTTTATAATATAAACTATATCTTTGTTATTTGAAAACATAGAACTTTGAGTCTTCGGGCATTTTTATATATTATTTTAAGTTCTACAACTTTGTCCAAGACAGCAAACCTCTATTATGCGAAATAAGATAGTTAGTATCGCAGCACCATCTATGCGGAGAAAATTTGAACTAATTTTCATGACCAGATGAACGTGCATGTTAAACCGAGAAACTTTGCCAAAGACCCAATGCGCTAGAGGTTTTGTCTTGCTAATTTCGGTTCCTGGCCCAGAGTGAGATTACTTAAAAATGTATCCACCTTTTCGTACGTATCGTAAGATTTGATGAAAATACAAATTTATTCGGTCGGAGTGCTACTTTGTTTTTTGAGGATAATGGGTGCAAACATTCATATCAAGTTAGTTCACTTGAACTAAAGTATCGCACCAAACGCAGAATTGACTTGTTAACGCCGAAATCATGGATTTATTTGACGTTTTATACTCGATAGGCCCAAACTGGGCGATTAGGCCTCAATAGTTCTCTACCCTGTATGAACCAAATACCAGTAATATGCGTAGAACTGTGTAATTCTTGGAATCCATAAATTTCACCAAAAATTAGGCCGAATAACATTCACATCGTCAACGCTTTGCGTCATAGCCGAGCCTAAAATTACTTTTCCTCTTAAACCATTGACCGACTATTATCATCTAATGGATAGGACCAGTCAATAAACTTTCGCACTTGCGCCAATATAGTACACTAAACTGTCTCGTAAATAACATCGAACGCTTTTATCTTCGTTACATTCGAAGGCAAAGTGTAGGCGCGACGCAATGCCGAACCAAAACGATCCATTCATCCCGAGGGTTCCTATGCCTTCGTTCCTTACATCCTTCTTGCTCCAGCATCAGCAACCCAAAACATAACGACAGACGCCAACCTTCGCCAACGGCAGGGGTAGGGGCAGGGGCTAGAAAGTTTTATCGTTTAGTCGGAATAAAAGGGTCAATTAGAGGGATAAAGCTACACGGAGCTCGAGAAAAGTTGAATGAAAAGGCTACTGCGCGTCTTGCCAGTCATAAATAGCAAGTCTGATCCAGGAAGAAGAACCAAGGGATGGAAGCAAGCAATCCGAAAAAGCCACAACCACCATCCAACCACGTAATAGAAAAAGGAGACAGGCTCTTATCTTGGTCGATAGTTAAAGAATTTATTTCATAAGAAGACACTTCATCCGACCGTTCCAGATAGTACCAACCGATGACGCACACCACCGTTCGCTTCGTCGTCCTCCTACATACATGTGGGATAAAACCGCAAGACTGACCATTTATGAGTTGAAGAGATTACAACATTTACCGAATTGGTTTTGGGTTGGCTGCAGAAGGCAAAATAAAAGGGTTGTGTTGACCGAGACAACGAGTTTTAGATATACGTATATGGCAGCAGACAGACTTTAATGTACGCTAGAATGTTGATATAAGTACGGGAGGGTTGAGATACTTGATCTGGAGGCAGACATGGTCCACCTAGGTTATTTCCATGACTGAATCAGGACAAAATTTAAGCGTGATATGAAAATTCAACCTGTTCGAATACTCCGTGTCGTCGTTGACTGACGATGTCGTGTTTCGCATTCTTCTTCTTCTTCTTCTTCTTCTTCTTCTTCTTCTTCGCATCTACAGCTTATTCTTATCACATATTAGCTTCCCAACAACCAATTGCCTATTAAATAAACGACTTCTTGACGATTTTATTCAACTTCATGCTTAATAGCACTTGTACTATCTTTCCTTTTTTTTATTATGGTCACTTTAACACTCTTAGTCATTCTTGATTTGTCCGGGGTGAGTTTTGAACTCGTGACTTTGGCGTGAGAGGTATGGAGGTTAACTACTACGCCAGGATCGCATCCATTGTACTATTTTTAATAATAACTTCTGTTCAGGCTTTGTTCACACAAATCTGGAGAATTTATTCAACCACAAACATCGAAATATTTGGTGTGAATAAGGTATGTCGAGAAGCTTTTATTCGACTAACAAGAGTTGTAACAGAGCTTTATTCGATCAATTGTTTGATTATTCAGCGTTTATTGGACATCATTACTTCCTTAAACAGCGATGGTATTAAAGGTGTATATAATACACGCTTTATTTTTATGTGAAATAATGTTTAATTAGACACTATTATACATTTATTAAACGATTATTCAACTACGGGATAATTAATCCGAAAATAAGAACGGCACGCAGGGTTGTTCTCGTTAGTGATTGTTGTGTAATTATTACTGTCGAAGCACGCACCCACCGCACAGAAAATTTATTACATACATACATACACACATATGTGTTCATTATATGGGATTCTAACCATGACCTTCTGATCACCAGCCGCTTGCCTTGCCATCTGAGCTATCCTAGAATACATCATATGAGCAGCTAAATAAGCAATAAAAGCTTGAATCTGAATACCTTTCAGCACTCTTTGCCGTACACTGAGGCAAATAGACTCAAGAATTTCATAAGGCTCGACTTATGAACGACACATATGAATTTCATCAGTACGACTTATGAAAGATTTTGCGTCTAACATGTGGTAGCTCTTATATGTCTTTAGCCATTCCATTTGCCCAAACGTTGACAGACGAGCGGTCCAGACACAGGACCCGTAATCTCAACGTCTATGGATCGGTTCCAGTCTGCTCCGTTTAATTATTTTTTTTGTCGACATAATTTTCCATAAGGCAAATCTATGAAATTCATATCGATTTCTTGTGGCTAAAATTCATAAGTGGTTCTTATGGAATTCTGACGGTATTTTACCTCGGTGTAACTCTAACTCATACAAGGAGATGTGAGAATGATTAATTCATTCATAGTTGTTTTACATGAGACCAATGTAACCTCTCCATCTCTCTAATTTCGATGGAAAAGATGCTGGGCTATTCTTTTAGATAGATCGATGAATTGGTTGTCGTGAGTGATTACGATCTATGATTACGATTTAAATTAATTAGGCGTAGAAAAAAAGGGTTGATGTTGGGATTGAACTCGCGACCTTCTACTTGAAAAGCGGAAACGGTAACCACTATGCTACCAATTTTGTTTTGTTGTTAGTCTGAAACAGTGTTGTGGAATAATGAATGAATACGCCGTTTGTAAAGCATTTACAAAGCATGCCATTAAAACATGGCATTATGCTGACTGTATTCATCTTTATTCAGCAATATAGTTAAGCAATGCAATGGAATCTAATAATGGAGCTAGAAAACAAAATTTAGACGTATAATAAAGCAACAGTCGAATTAAAGCATCAATTTATGTGCAAATTACACTTATTCAGTATGTTATTAGATAAAACTTCTGGTGTTGAATCAGGAAGACAGTCATCGTTTGTAAAGCGTTTAATAAGTATTTTAATCAAATCAGAGCAAACAGCGCTATAAAGGCGCATGTATCGATCTCAATGAGGTTTTTTTCAGCACATAATTTGACAACCCGTTTTTATCAGCACTGTACACTGTTATAAAGCATTTTTTCAATATATATGCTTATTTGTGACTCTGAATTGTTTGTTGGGTTATTGCGTGCTCTCAACTTAGTGTTCTAGATGCAGTACACAGGTATTAATTGAGAGCTTTCGATGCCTGCCAATCATACTCTATGCCCAGAGAAGTCGAGAAATTTTCCAACCCGGAAAACTCCCAGACCGGACCGGGAATCAAACCCAGATACATCCAGCCTAACCTAACGCTTCTAACGTACCGCAACTATATGAGCGTTTACCCTATAAAAGGTTTCGAATAGTAAAGAATCGTGGTAGGTGTTCGCTTTCGTTCGGAGTCTTGTAGCAAAACTCTTTTTTTTTTGTAGTAGGTGTTGCTCAAGCTGCAATTTTCATTAGGTTAGTTTTAGGAACAATAGTTTTAATTCAAATCCACTTACATTTTAGTCCCCGCTAAATTTGAAGCGAACAAATATTATATTTAGAAGTAGGCTTAGTAAAATACTGTATTTCAAATAATTAAGTTAATTTTAAGCTAAATATAAATAGAGAAAAATCTTACAAAACAAAACAAATCGTGGAATTTCATTCACTCTTCACGAAATGAAAACTTCTTTTATTTAATCACCTAATCAGCCTGTCATCGCTACGTCTTCATGACATGACATGGCCGTCATCTACACGTCCCTGCAGTGGGTCATCTTCAAGACGTTGGTCATCGCAATGGCAAGGAGCTTGCGTGTAACATCCTCCTCCTCATGACACCACAGTTTCTGCTATGGCGTCATCTTCCGGTTCCATATCCTCAGCTTGCCGCACGGTCCTATCCTTTTCAGGAAACGTACACACTACCCGACCTCTCAGCCACCTATTTCTGACCTTCTCATCCGCTATGACTACCAACTCACCCTCTTTGATGGGTCGCACATTTTGGAACCACTTGGTCCTCCAGATACTCGGTGATCCACTTTTGCCAGATCCTGTCCAATGTGTGCTGCATCTTGTCCCAACTGCTCCTCAATAACTCTCCTTTGCTTACAGGCTGTTTTATCGGTTGCTGTACCCCCCTGTTGAACTTAACAGTAGGAAGTGTGTCGTGATTGATCTGGTGAGGGTGAATGGAAAACCTCAGACATTCTGAACCAGCTCTCAGAATAAGCGCACACAAAACTGAACTTCACATTTCCGACGTTTATTACATATGGACACACGTAGGGTTAACCTATTTAGGCTTTGCTCTTACTGACTAGCCTGGATTTTTCCTCTACCTGTATACCGTTTACTTTCTACTAATAGGTGCACCTAATAAAAAAATGAGTTTAGCTTGCTCGCTGCTCAGCCCTTCTGCGAAGACTCCGGCACTCACCTGATCGCTTTCGTCTCTGGATCACCACACCCTTGCAGCTATGGACACCGGGCTCGTCCACGCACATCTAACCGTTCCGAATCCTCGAAACCAACGGATAGCGATGCACACATGCAACGGGTGATCATGCAACCCCAGTGGTCTCAAAAGTTCCTCGGTCAGGGCTTCTGCCGACGTCCTCACGTGCACGTGGCTTCTGCTACCCATTACTTGGCCGAATGCCACTCCCACGTCGGTTCGCGAAAATCCCGCTTCGGCCTTCCCTCAATCCACTACTTCGTCCTCTACGAATTCGATCTCCACGCAAAAGGTTCTACAAAGGCCCCTTCTGGGGCCTTTCGTTCTCAAATGCTAACGCCGATCTGATGATTGACTAGTCTAGCCGATTCGTCTGGGTCTGATCTTCGCTATTTCCAATCAAATTTCCCTTCACCTTTCGAGATGCCTTGTTTTCCTTTCGCTGATAATATTTATCACTGGTCTGGCGATTAAGTGGCCCAGTCAATCCGTCTGCGCTGGATGATTTGAGGCACACACACTGGCACTGAACTGCAACGCATGCGGTTTTTTGTACGACCGTTCGACAAAACGCGACTGAACTGCAACACCGTAAGCTAATGACTCCTCGATGCGAACTTGTTCTTCCCCAACAGCGGAAACGTCAGAGAAAACGCTGAGCAACGGCCGTATTGGCAATGTAATTTGTTATTTGGTCTCTTTTGCAAGCTATAATTATGCGTACGTTAATGTAATCCTACTAATTTTCCTAACCAATCATGATTTTCCGAGTTTATGCTCACGATATAAATTAAACGTAACAAGTGATTTGGGTTTGTCGCTTTCTGGTCTGACGTCTGCAGCGAAACGAAGGTCAAAGGCCGAGAGTTGATCATTTTTTTCAGCTTACGTTCCGTGAGAACCATGCCTAAAGCTGCCTTGATGGACCGAACCATCCTTTCCCAGCAGTCTATCATGTGGAGTTCTGAGGGTGGGTTAACCTCCACTGCGTATAGGTATCCGTGAAGTTACTGCTCAACTTCGCATTGATTACTCTGCTGTGATAGCTTCGCAATTTTTCTCAAACGCTCCAGTGGCTTTCCTTCGTTCTCGGATTCTCTTCTACGTTTCATCGTTGGCATCTCATCAGGATATGCGTCCGACTGTACCAGCATCCACAAAGTGCACTCCGTCTTTTGCAATTCCTCTCGGCTTAATTATTTCGCTGTAGCTCGAACACTACCCTTGGACGCTTGACGTAGGTTGCCCAGGAATAGATGAACATACGCAACGCATCGCTGGGGGCTGACAATGAAATACGGACAGCTGAAAGCTGGTCGAAGTTCTTCGTTTGTATCTTCCACATTTTCTTCCAACCACTCCCCGGCTTTGTCGTACAGGAATGCAGGTCCGCGATACCAGCGGCTTTCGATTTCGGTTGATGGGCCTTCCCCCACTTTGTTGCTTCGTCAGCGACGTTGGTTTTCGTTCCGTTCCAGTTCCATTCATCCACCTTAGACAAACTGAGGATTTCGTTGACTCTAAAGACGCCAAATTGGCGGTAGCGACGTGAATCCGACTTGATCCAAGAAATCACTGTTGTAGAATCACCCCAGAAAAAGGTGCGAGTTATCTTCACGGAATGATGATCTACGATTGTTTGCCTCAGACGAGCTCCTATTAAAGTCACCATTAACTCTAGTGGCAGCATTGAAAGTGATTGCAGGGGTGCTACTTTGGTCTTCGATGAATCAAAAGTACATCGAACTTCTCCCCACACGCCGATTCGGATGTATGCGAGCGCGGCAAAGGCCTGTTCGTTCGCATCGACGAAGATGTGGAGTTGGAGCGACTTGTAGCCGGACTGTATCCTGGAAAATAGCAACGACAGATCTTCACCTTGGTCATCTTCCGTAGAACTATCAACCACTGATTCCAGCGGCAGAATATATCAGATGACACCTGCTCCACGTATCTTGAACCAGAACTTCACCGTGGTGCTGCATGCTGCAATAAAACCAAGGGGATCGTAGAAACTCATCACAACGCTCAGTAGATCCCGTCTGCGGCGCCGGTGGTGTAGTGGTAAGCGTGATTGCCTCTAACTCCAAAAGGCCTGGGTTCAATGGGTTCAGTGAAATGCCCTCGACTTCAGCCACTGCATGTCAGATGAGACGAACTTTGCCGGGTTTGTTTGGATTCACCACGATAGTACCACGTACGTCGTAGGTCGAAGCCATTCAACTCGTCCTCGGTCGCCTCGTGCACAATTTAGACAGGAATTCTGCTATATGCTGGCGTACAGTATCGTGCAATCCCAACAAACATTGAAAGCTGAATAAGAGCTTGTTAATGTAAAATTTAGCTTCTTCAGCAATTTTTTAGCTAAGTTAACTTTTAATCAGTTTAAATTGTTTGTCGGAATGCTTCGGTAGCCATTTCTCCAGACATCTTAAACGCTTTTCTGCCATAGGCCAGCTGGACGGTAGCTCGATATAGTCGTGTTTCCACAACAACTCTTTCGAACTTTCCGCTCTCAGTCCTTGCTATAGTCTCTTTCAATATCTTCCGACACCTTCACTCGTATAGGTCAGTCTTATAGCACCTAGGTTTACATCAATTTTTCTAAGTGTGTACTTTAATCCCCCTTTGAATAATTTTCAGCTGAATTTGTTTCGATCCGTTACAGTTTTGTATCGTCAATAGTTCGCATACGCCTGTGTAAACGGCTAAGTATACTAAAAAACACTTTTTCCCAAAAAACCCACGATGAAATATTTTTAAACCGTAACATATTTAATTGTTAGGATCAAACTTCAAACTGCTACAAACTTCCTGTGATGAAAAAACTGAGGTACATGAAAGTTGCAAAAAAGTGCCTTCATACATAGCGTGGTCGCCTCAGTTTCTGGTTCTCACTTCACATAGTGAACGCTTGATTACTGGTATCCGTAGTGTATCACCCGAAGTCACCACCTCAGCTTGTCGCACGGTTCCATACTTTCCAGGAAACGTACGCACTACCCGACCTCTCAACCACCTGACCTTCTCATCCGCTATGACTACCAACTCACCCTTTTTGACCGATCGCACATTTTGGAACCACTTGGTCCTCCTTGTTATCGTCGCCAGATATTTGATGATCCACAAGGGGAAGTTTTTTTGTCTTTATTATAGAGATTTTTAGCCATATGCCATATATCATCTCTCAAGATGGTAAAAAAAGAAAAGAGAAGAGAAAAAAAAATTGGATTCTCAGAAGGAGATTCCCAATCTTAGCTGTGGTATATTTATCTAGCTAGATGAAAAGATGTAGAAAACTGCTAAAAGGGCCAAAAAACTGGAAATACAAACAAGGAACACTCAGATATTGTTGTAAAAGTTCGCCTCCTTTAGGAAGGTGATGAGGGCGGCTGCTGCCGGCGACTCGTCGCCCAACAGGTTCCGAATGATGCTTGACTCCAAGCCGAAGGCAGCCCAAAGGTCCTTCAGCTCCGCGCAGTTCACGAGGATGTGCTCTACGGTGGCTGGCACTCCGCAGGTTTCACAGATCCTCCGGAACGGTGTTCCTCCGAAGTTGTGGGAGACTCTGCTGTGCCCGGTGCACAGCCTTGACACCACTCGTTGTTCTCTTAGGTTTGGTCGATCCTTCCATGTTCCGGTGGTCGCCTTGATCTTCCGAAGGTGGTATGTCCTGTTGTTCCTCCACTCGGTGTCCCAGGCTCTCCGAACCGTCCGCTTGATCCACTTTTTGACATCTTGGAGCGATACAGTGCCGGTGAACCTGGGTCTAGTGTGGCCTGAGCCGGCGAGGTGGTCAGCTGTTACGTTCCCTTGGACCCCGCAGTGACCGGGTACCCACATGGATACAGTGTTGGACGGCGCATGCTTTACCGTCCCTTGGATCCACGGATGCTTCCGTGTTGTTAGGGCCAATATCACGCTGTGTGAGTCAGTTACGACTAATATAGGCCGATTGACCGGTAACTTAACCACGTAGAGAATGGCCACTGCCTCAGCTGAGAACACTAAGCATTGGGTTGGAAGCGATAAGCTCACAAGCAGACCATCTCCGGACACCCCCATTCCCACTCCGCTCCTGGAGAGAGAGCCGTCGGTGTACCTAACTTCATAACTTTGTTAGTGCGCCCCGAGAGTTTCGACAACTGTCCGGTGTAAAGCCAGCGAGTTGTCTCCTGGCCTGAAGCGGTCCTTGATTTGGCTGTCAATTTTGATATTGTGCGATTTCCAACTTTTGTCTCCGTGCCAGTGGACCCTGGTCTCTGGAGGGAGATATACGTCGGCGGCCGTGCGGAGGAGTCGGTTCGCCTCGTCGAGGAGAACGATCCTGTTGTTTCCCTTTTAGCGAGAAAGGCAGTGGCTTTGGCAGCAGTAGCTGCAGTGAAAACGAGCCGAAAAGGTAGGATACCGGCTTCAACGCATGCAGCGTCCTCCGGGGTAGAGGGCAGAAGACCGGAGACTGTTCGAACGTAGCCGTTGTACACCGGTTCCAGAATCTGGACGGCTTTCCCGGCGGCAAGGCATGTAATCTCTGCACCGTACAGTAGGCGACTGTCGATGATGGAAGCAGATTTCGCGAATGTTGGATCGGTGGGGGCGGGAGATGGTCTAAATCAGGTTGGACCGACTATGACAGTTCTTCTTTACTTGTTGGAAGTGCGGCTCAAAGGATAAATTCCGACCGAGGAGCACTCCCAAGACCCTCACGGTGTTTTTGGTCGGTATTGCTTGCTGTTTAATCATGATGGGCTGTCCGTTGTTGCGATTCCTGGTGGTACATATATGGTAGCGCACGCTCTTGCCGGTGGAAAGCTGGAAGCCAACAGAGTCAGCCATCTGACCACCGAGGAGACTGCCGCTTGCGCCTCTTGTAGAGGACAGGGTGGACCCACCGTTACAATGAGGACGTCATTCAAGGCGAAGGAGTTTTCCTACGGAAAGACGTTCGTGGAGCCGGCTTAGTTTTAGCTTGAAGTGCGCTGTCCTCCAATGGTGGAAGCCCTCCTACTGACGATACGGTTTTCATTTATCGCGGCCTTTAACTTTGCCCAATCGATATTACGAGTAAGATCGTACGCGACGTTAACGGGTTCCGACGGACTGAACCCACTGGCAACTGAATCTTTGATCGGCAAGTGATCACTACCGGGGGGATCTTGGGTCACATTTCACGTGCAGTTCAACGATAATGAATTATAGCAAAGGGTGAGCTCTAATCTACTTCCATTCGAGGATGGGCGAGCCAAACGTGTTACTTCTTCATTGTTAAGAATTGTCAGCCTGTACCGTGGGAATTAAAATCTCCCATAATCAACCGTGGAGTAGGAAGAACTGAACAGACACCTGAAAGTTGTTTTCGATTAACCGAAACTCGGGGAGGAATATACATAGAAGCAATACAAAGGCTCTTGGCTTTAATAACTAGCAGTTCAGGTTATCCTGATTTTTTTTTGTTCTCGAATACCGTACATTTATGTGATTGTCCATAAATAAGTTGCGATTTTTCAATTTCCTTCAAATTCCCATTCCTACCCTTTTTCTAAAATTTCTGTCAGGTAAATGATGAGAAAGACTGTACGAAGGTGAAGCACACATCTCCCATCTGTAGGGAAACCTGACCCATAACTGATAACTGATACATGACACCTTTCGACTGGAAAACACAGTGCTTGACAAACTTGGTGATCGAATCGCCCTATTAGTAGCACTTAATATCGCTGTTCTAAACTGAGTACCTATTTAGGCTTGAAAAAAAAAAAAATATCTGTTTTGTTTGTATCCGTAATTTTTCGACTATTAGATGTGTTATAAAGTTTGACAGAATGGATGTTTGGGATACTCGGCTCAAAATAGCCCAATTGTGGTGCACGAAATAAAAGATGTGCCCATTCTTTGCTAAATTAAATACGGTGCGCATATAATTTTATGCTTACGTGACCGATACGCTGTATCGAGGCACCACGCCACGGCAAGTGCACTGCAGTTCAATCGATCGCAGAGTATAAAGTTCTATACGCGAAGTACTGATTATTTTGTCACGCTGACTTCAGCATAAGTCACTCCAGAAGTCTCCCCATTGGATCCCGTGCAAATGCACAATGTAGCGCCACCTATTTAAGGCCAACGGAATTGATTAATAAAGCAGTTGTGTTCGGAAGTCTATTCAGTACAAGTAATTATAGCCTCTACGCTCTTATTAGGGATCCCTCTGGGTAGTCCCTGTTTGATACCGTTTAGGTTCCCTATCTAACTGTCCATTTGGAAGACAGTCTTTCTCTCTGGAGACTGTTTAAAATGACAGTCTAGTCAGTCCGCCGGAAGTCCACCGCCGTCAATCCCGATATGTATATAAACAGACTTTCTACCACACAATTTCAAGTTACGTATGGAGACGAAATATGCTCAAAATACCGCCTGCAATTTTTCGTCGGCATAATCCTATCCTGGTTGGCTAATTATTGTTATTGTATGTCCCTTGAGAAATACTATCAAGATTTCTTGTGATATCTATTACCGAAAATTTTCTTTCAAAACGCAACGCATTTTGATCAATTTCGCCCTGGTGATTACGGCGCTAGAAATGCTCTAAATACAAAACAAATCTTGAACATCAAAATTGATTTATTGTGTAACTCATCAAATCAGATGAGCATCCAATAATCCAAACCATGGTTTGCATTTAAATGTGTGAGAAGAGTCAAGTATCACTTTATATGGATAAAATCAGATTTGTTTCAAATAAAAATATATTGCTGCGATACACTTTCGTCCTTTTTGGGAATTTTCGACTGCCTCCCACTCGCATTAAACTAAGCTTCAAAGCCGTGATCTAAAATCGAACTTCAAAATAGCGAACATGAATTTTTATTATAACTTTATAGCGAAACAAAAAATGCCAACACATCTACTCTGAATACAAAACAACGAAAATTGTAGCTGCTGATCTTCCAGCGTGAAACTATCGGGTCCGAAAACCAATTTCTCCGGAAAAATATAAGACAATCACGATTTTCTTCCTCCAATGATTTGGCAATCGTTTTCCGCACGAAGAAACTGTAACCCATAGGAATCCATACATTTCTTCTTCTTTTTTTATATCCTAAAATAGCGATGTCATCCACCACAACCACGAATCGTTGAGCAAGCTGACTTGAATTGAAATTTAGTGGTTCTGCGGTATAATTTTGGCTCATTGGCCAAGTGTAGAAGATTGTTCTTTCCCTTATCCCAACTGGTTGTCTCTGCCACTGTCGTGGCAAATTCTGAATGCACGGTATACAGACATCCATTTCCACTCCCGCAGAACCAGCGACAGCAACGACCGACGACGACGAGAATAAATTGATCAATTTGACTCAATTTTATTTCGCAGTTTTCATAAAAATTACAGCTATAAATCGTTTCTATGGCATGTTTTTTTTAAGTATTTTACTTCACTTTATCTATCGTGACTATGTTCCACTTGGCGTCAAATCTCCAGTAGAACAAGAGAAATATTTTTCGATTGAGGGTACATAGGACTCAGCTAGCAGCTAACGAGGTTCGAAAAAATGTTCAATTGGATTGAAGTATTTTAGACCTCAAGGCTACCAATAATAAAATAATGGCACTTCATCCTTACAAGAATGCTGCAGCTCTCATACTGGCACCAAGTTGAGCTGCGATAATCGCCCACAATTTAATTGAATTAGTAATGTTTAGAACCAGTAGAGCGCACACTCTGCTCACATCGCATATGAGCAAGACGTTGTTCTTTGCAGGGATGCTGATTTATCTTCTCTCTCTTTACATGGTTCAGTTCAACGAGGAAGATGCCTTCTAAGAGTAATGAATTTTCCGAACCTAAAGATGCAACTTTTGTTTAGAGAACACGCTTGACTGGAGTTTCGCTTATGTATAAGAAGACTAAATTTATTGAAAATGCTGATGAATTAGATCTTGAGTTGCATGAAATTATTACTATTTAGGGCATGAAATTGAAAACTATATCAGAAACTGCAATTGTTATCAAAATGTAGATATAATGATGGGCTTCTATTTGCCAAACGATCAAATTACTGCAGCTCATGTATACCATAGCTCGTGTTAGTACAATCGTTATCCCTTCCGGAAATTGACACTCGTTGAAGATCGATTGCCGGAAATATTGGCTTCCTCTTTTAGGGATCTCCCATATATGACATAGCATATTTCTGATAAATTTTTACCCCCCCCCCCCCCATCGTATCGTATTTATTAGTTATAGATAAATGGCCGGTCACAACTTCTGAAACCCCCTTCAATTGCAACGTCATTTATGCATGTTCCTCTATCATTCTTCCAGCTCCTCTCGTCCTTCTATATCAGAACCTGTTGAAAAGAGATCCTGAATCGCTCCTTGTGGCGTTGTGGCTTGCAACTATCGCTCCGTAATAATTGAAAAGTGACATTAAATCGTCGTACATCCCTTCATTCCATTGCATCCAAAGGACACTCCCCATAAACTCGATCACATTCCCCATCCCTAGCAATTGGTCGAAGGTTGTAATTTCTGTATCCACAGCTCCATTCCTCCTTTTCACTGTATTATCTTTATTATTTTTTCATCATTATTCAAGTTGTTCCTTCTTGTACCTCCAACCACACAATCTTCGTCCCGTGGGACGAACAACAAAAAATATCCAGTTTATAATACTTTTCACTCTTTCCTTTTATTGCTAGTTATTGTCCTCACGCCCTCTTCCGGGGATTGGCCCAGCTGCTTGGCAGTCAGTTATTGGCAGGAACATAAAACCGATAGCGCGGGATACTATTATACCTACCGACATACACAAGCCCAAGCCGAGAGCCGAGCGTAATCAGGATAAAGTCATTTTGAATCTTCCGAAGTAGACTGGGCAACGGAGGACAAGACGATGACAAAGACAACGGAACGGACGGTGTGGAGGATACCATCCGGATGTTGATGGGCAAATAAAAACAAACGATACTCGAGCTGCTGCCTGTGTAGATGAAAAACGGTAGCAGCATAAACCATATCAGTCAGCAAAGTGGCAAGCACAGCGCGGCAAGTAACAGTCCCCTTG